TAGAAGTTAAAATTCATTAATATTTAAAACCCTAGCTATTTATAAAGTATTATTAAATTTTATAATACTAATAAACGTCTTATTTTAAAACATTAATGATTCGAATCTATTGATTTAATAATAAAATCAATTAAGTTAAATAGCTTAATATAATAAAACTATATTAACAAGAGGTTGTATACTATTATAGTTAGTTAGAGTATAGCCATTAAATAATTACATGAGTTGGTCTATTTAGAGTTTTTTCCGATATCGGTATACTATATGGGGATGTTTTTTTTGACTTCATTACTTTTTCCATTTTTTAAGCGCTATTTGAGTAGAAAGATTGTTAGTAAAATTCTTAAATATAAAAATACATTCCCATATGAAGTTATTTCTAAGGTAGTCCCCTTCTTTGGGCAAATACAGGTTATCAAGGGTGTAAAACTGCTACAGTCAAGTTTTTTATATGAATAGTATTGTTTTTAGATATAAGAGATGTTTGCTATTGCAGCCAATAGCCTTCTTTTTTTACTTATAAAAGGAAGATTACTTACAAAGTAATCTTATAAATCCTATATTTAAGCCAACTCAAATTGAAAAGCTTTTGGTTATGATTTTGGGCTTACCTTTTTCTTGGATTTGTAACCTAAGGCATGTTCAAATATCATTGGGGAATTTCCTCGTTTTAACTATAGTAATCAAATAGAAACCCTCTGAATGGAGTTTAATTAAAAATTAGGTGCATTATTTTTAAAGCATATGTAAGGCGAAATTATGATTGATTTAGATAATTCAATGGAACAATAAAAAGACTGAGGTTTTGATGGTCGGGTCAACTTATATTTTATAAATACTAACACTATAAAATATAAATGACGGAGCCTGATGCTATGAATTAAGCAGAAAAAAAAGTATAAATAGGTAGGGAATAATATAGACAAGAATAAAAAAGATGCTTCATTATATCTTGACAATATTTTTAGTACTAATAGTATCAACATATGGGGATGATTTTTTTGATTTCATTACTTTTTCCACCTTTTAAGCGCTATTTAAGCGGAAAATTTGTTAGTAAAATTCTTAAACACAAAAATACATCCCCATATATTTTCATCAAAAAACAAAAAGATCCAAATGATAGTTTGCCATCCGCTAGTATATTTAAGTTTATTTATCACACTGTAAAACAAACAACATTAGATATAAAAGAGAAAGAGTTATTCATACCTTTATTTCAAATAAATAAACACATTAAGTTTTGGTTAGGGACATGGTTTATAATGGTTTCTGATTTAGATACAATTAAAACTATATTGATGGACAGTGATAATTTCATTAAACTCAACCAATTTAAACAATTTAAACGAATTGTATCTTTGGACCAAAACATTGCTGTTGTGGATGGTGAGGAGTGGAAAAGACATAAAAGAGTTATTAACCCAGCGTTTAAAAGAGGCCGGGATATTAATATATTTATTAAAGCCGGTTTTAAAATGATAAACTATATGAAAAAGGATGAGAATAACTTTAAGTTGATTGATGTATTGAAGAATTCCACTTTAGATAGTTTGGGTTTATCTATTTTTCATGTTGACTAATTCAATTGAAGATGAAAATTGTGAAATAGTGTCACTTTACATCAAATTTATTGAAGGTATAAATAATGTATGGTTTTTACTGTTTCCTTTCTTACATAGCTTACCTATTCCGTCGGTAATTCAATTAAAGAAAGATACTGATCGTTTTATCAATTAGTTGAAAATTTAATTAATGAAAAAAGAGAGCAAATTAAGAAATGCGGTATCGATAATGTTAAATTAAGTTTATTAACTATGTTGATTCAGTCTTCAGATAATGATCATAGTACATTTAATGGCTTAACTGATGAAGAAATCACTGTAAGTTGAAAATTTACTATATAAATAATACAATTTAATTATTTAGAGTGACGTAATTTTACTTTTTATTGCCGGACATAACACTACCGCTCATACCTTATCATGTCTTTTATACTTTCTATCGAAAAATCAAGTATCATTATAATTTAAATCTGTTATTTCTAAATATTTAATTTCATTATTTAGGATATTCAAAATAGATTAAGAGATGAAATTATTCACGTTTTAGGAGTAAAAGCAAAAAACATTAATGAAGATATAAAAATAACTCATGAAGAATTAAATAAAATAATCTATTTTGAAGCAGTTATTAATGAAGGGATGAGAATTACACCAGTAGCGACTATAATAACTAGAAAAGTAGCTGAAGACTATTGTTTTAATAATGAAATTCAATTTAAAAAAGGACAGCCATTGCTATTGAATTTTGCATTAGCAATGAATGATGAAAAGAAATTCAAGAATCCAAAAGAGTTTAATCTGGATCGATTTTTGGTCCTAAATGAAAATGGAGAGATTCAAATTAACAAAAAATTAACCAAAGACATGATTGGATTTAGTATCAGACCACGTATGTATACTGGAAATCAGTTTTCTATTTTGGAACAAAAAATATTTTTAATATTGTTATTATTAACTTTTAAAGTCGATTTACCTTCAGACTCTATCCATCGCGATTATCCTATCCTTCCATCCCTTGGTATTTCTAGTCCTAAAGATCTTAAGCTGGACTTTACATTACTTTGGTATACTTAAGTTTAAGCTAACCTACTTTCATTCTTATAACTTCACTTGACCATTTCATTTTGAATATCTTATTAAACTATCTAAACATTTCTTTAAAAACATTTTTGATAATATTTGATAACTATATGGGGATGTATTTTTGTGTTTGAGAACTTTGCTAATAAATTTTCCACTCAAATAGCGCTTGAAAGATAGAAAAAATAATGAAGCCAAAAGAAACATCCCCATATGGAAATAGGAACAAGACCAGATTCAGTAAATTTAGATCATTATAATAAACAAGCCATATAAGTATTAGGTTTTGGTGTTTTATATTTGAGAGATGATAAAACAATAGACAGAATTTTATTTTGATTATTTATCTGAAATACTAAATCATGACTCAGTATATGCAGGAGATTGTTTAATTGATTTAATCTCTATAGAGCTTTTATTTAAAAGGTTTACAAAAATTAATATATAGACAGATACAGGAAATCATTTTAAATCTCAAGAGTTTCTACGTTATATATTTAAAAAAATTAATAAATAAATGAAGATGTATTTTTGTATTTAAGAATTTTACTAACAAATTTTCCGCTTAAATAGCGCTTAAAAGGTGGAAAAAGTAATGAAATCAAAAAAATCATCCCCAAATAATAGTCTAAATACTGATCTTAATTTTTTTGCTGATCATCATGGAAAAAGCATAGTTGATAGACATTTTGGAAATCTTTCACAATGAAAAAGTAGTTTTAAAGCATTAAGTAAAATAGAATATATCAATTAATTAATTTCAAGATTTGAGGCTTTCATTTGTGAACAATAAAATTAATAACTCGACTGTTAATAATACAAAAACAGTTATAATTTTTAAAAACTATGAAAGAAACAAAAATACAAAAAAAATGATAAAAATATGAGGCATTAAAAAGTATTTACATTTTGTTAAATGTAACAATAAACTACATTGTTATCCAGTATCTGATACATCAAAAAAAAGCAATATAGTTCCAATTAGAGTTATAGAGTCTATAGAAAATAGAAAAATTAAAAGATCAATCCCAGCTTATCTTACGAAAATAACAGAGAATTTAAAAATTTCGATGTTTACTAAGTAGTTTGTTAAATGATAGAAATCAATTGTTAAATGTTAATATTACTTAAGTTATTAATAGGTAAGTTAATATATAGTCAAAGAGCAAGTGATTGTAATAATATTTAAAAACTATTATTATATTACTTGTACCATATAGGGATGATTAATTATAGTTTTGGGGCTAACCACTCCCTCTCTGAAATATAGCTTTGTCAGCTCTATGATTGATTATAGCATAATAATCACTTAAGTTATTGTGTTCTCGAGTTCAGAAACAATCAATCCCATGTCCTTATTTTGATTTTTTATGAGAATTTTTAACTTCATCCCAAAGAATATTATCCTCTTCTTTTGATATCGATACTTGTCAGAGTACAAAAGAGATTCTAAAACATAATAGCTCGAGGCTTTTTAATTGAATTATTCCCTGATATCCCAAACATTTAATAAAGCCACTAAGTTTTCTTGATAATATTCTACGTAGATTTTACATCAACATTGTTTATTCTATTTGTCTTATATAGTCCATAGCCTATTACATGATGTTCTTCATAATTCAAGTCTATCTTAGTCACATAAACTAAGACCTTTCGACTTACAGTGTAGTCAACCAGGTAATAGCTGTTATTGACTCCAATCACTGAGTACCAGGTTTCACACCTCGCATGCAGCTATTTATTAACTCAGTAATATATTAATAATATAATTATAACATTGAAATAGTTTACTTATTTGATAGTAAATCTGCAATGTTGGTTATAAAGCAGTCAATAATAAATATTTCTCAATGAGGCTTTATAAGAATATGTATTTAAGTTCTAGTAGAAACTCAATCAACTTACAGTATAAACTATAATATAGTAATTTAGAACTGTGTCTGGGTATTTATGCTTTTTAATAAAAAAATTATTTCTACAGAATTTTAAGTGAAGTTTTTAAAATGCAAAATAGTTAAAATTGGATAAAAAAATGAAACTAATTTAGACATCTCCAATTTATTTTTAATATTTGTCCTTTTTTATTAATTTGTATAAAATTAGCTTAATTTTTATATTAGTATTATTACAATATAAAAATATGCAATTTTCAATATTTGGAGGTGATTTTCTACTTCATTGCTTTTTCCCCCTCTTAAGTGGTATTTAAACGGAAAAATTGCTAGTAAAACTCTTAAATACAAAATGCAATCCCCATTTACTTTTACTTTTACAAAAAGCTACAAAGCTAGTTGCTAGTAAAAAATTGCAAGTACATTTATTTAAATATAATCCTAAACTATATCTAGTAAAATAGCTTCCTTAGTACAACTGGTAGTACATGGGTCCTTCCAATCATATTTGATATAACCTCCTAAGATGCGGGTTCGAATCCCTCAGGAAGCCAAAAATAATTTTTTCATCGAAAATAAATTTTAGTAAAAATTGCTAGTAAATTTTTCGAAAAAACTATATGGGGATGTATTTTTATGTTTAAGAATTTTACTAACAAAATTCTTAAATTGAAGTTACATATTTAAATATTATGGGGATATATTTTTATGTTTATTAATTTTTGATAGTAAAAATAATCAAAGTTCTTTCTATTTATTTGATATTTTATTTAAATAGTATAGTTTTTAAAATTATTTCATTTTTAGTATTTAATTTGATTTAATAACCTATTCCAACATTATAAAACATGGCCTATAAGTTTCAATTTTTAAATTCTACTTAAGTAGTCACGTTATTTATTTCCATCTCATTTTAATATTATTAGTAACTAAGTATAATAATTTCAACTTTCAATGACTTGGGTGAAAATTAATAGTCCAACTTTAATATTCATTGTCTTCTTTTAACAACTAATAAATTCTTTTTATTATTACTGTTATTTGAAATCCCTTCTTTATAACCCTCTCTACCATCTAATATCCTTGTTATCCATTGATCCTATTTAACTACATAATGAGTTTTTATGACAATTCATATTAATTAAAATCTAATTGGTTCTTTTCTGAAATGACATCACAAGTTGTTTTACTCATCTCGAAATTTTAAATATTTACTTTTATTCTAAAATTCTACCATTTCAATAATAATAATAATATAAAGAGTAACTCATCAATTAAATGTCTACCAGTTACAAAATAGGATTATTAATTTGTGACGACCCAGTTCCATCAGTTGTCTCACTCTATGGTGATTATTCCAAAATTTTTCAGAATTATTTTCAACTTTCATTAACCCAGCTTAAACCTAATGCCAAACTTGAACTCATTCCTTATTATATACAAAAATTGGGCGAGTTACCATCAATCAATAATGATTTAAAAGGCTATATTATTACTGGCTCTTCGTATTCTGCTTATTTAAATGAAACTTGGATATTGGATTTGATTCAGTTTTGTAAAAAGAGTTTAGATGAAGAACCAAATAAAAGATGGGTAGGCATTTGTTTTGGTCATCAACTATTAGCGAGAGTGTTTGATGATAAAGCTGTTGAAAAGAATTCATTAGGATGGGAGGTAAATATATTTTAATTTTAAATATAGATGGTATAAGGTTTAAATTGGAACTTTTTTATTAGGTAGGTCCACTTCCAATTGAGTTAACGGAAGAGGGTAAAAGATGCTTCAATACTCAGGAAGATAAGTTAGTAAGTATTCTATTTTTACTAATAGAGTTTTGTATGATTAATCTTTTTTTCTACTTTTTATTCAGATTATTCACCAAATGCATCAAGTAATTGATTTATGAAAGAAATTTATTTAGCATCTAATCAATCTTAATTTAGGATCATGTAGTAACTATACCCTCAGACTTCCAAATTTTAGCTAAAAGTTCAGTAAGTGGTATTCAAGGCTATTTATTAAAGGATAAAATATTAGCTATACAAGGACATCCTGAATTTACTCATAGTATTGTTCACTTAATTGTCGAAAAAAGAGCTGAGAAAGGGATCTTTAAGAAAGAACAAGTGAATGAAATTGAAGACAGATTAAAGACAGTAGATGTAGATCAATATTGTTTTGGTAAAATAATGATTCAATTTTTACTAAGGTTATGAGTAGAAGATAAGTAATTATATAAAGGATGATATAAAGTAATAAATAGGATCATTATAAATTTTATTTAATAATATAAATAAGTTTGTTATAATTTATATATATAAAAATGATTTTATAATTTTAAAGAGACAGAAGAAGAAATAAAAAAAATGATTTAAGATAAAGAATTATTAGTAGTATTAGAATTAATAGAATCCTCATTTGAACTAGCCGATAAATTGGACGTTGGAGAATTTGGGGTAAATTTTTTGGAAAAGATATTAGCCATAATAAATGCCTTATAATGACTATCTTGTGATAAATTATATGGATATTTTTGAAATAATAATAATTGATTAATAATTTTTGAAATTAATCGCATCTTATTATAATTGATGAAATATACTTTAGGATTGTTGGAGTTTAGATGAGGTGTATGAAACATATAGTTAAAATTACCATTTTCTGTAAACACTAAATCGGTTAAGGTAATACCTAGGAAAGGTAAACATGGACTTGTATTTTGCATTGTTTTATTTAATAATTCCCTATAGTAACGATAGTTCTCTCTTGTTGATAAAATCAGAGTTAACTTTTTAAAGTTTGTCTTATCTTTTTTATTTAATGAATTCCAATGTTTTTTGTCCCTATCATTTAATACCATTTGTAACCCCGTAATTATTTCAAAAGAAGAGTTATAATTTTTCAATTGATAGCAATATTTGGCTACTTTGATAAATTTTTGTATAATTTCCATTTGTTCATTGAAATGATGGCAGGAATAAATTTCTTTTGTTACAAAATTGGCCATCAAGTTAAACATTTGAATTAATTTTAATAAGTTAGGTGCCTTCAAATCTCTTACTTCTTTGTTATTCCATATTTGTTGATATAATTCACTAATTTGAATTTTGCAAAACAATTCATGTTCAATTAAAGTTAATTGTTCTGCAAATACTTTAAGATCTAAATCATAGAACTTTAAGTGGATAAAGATGCTATTTAATTTCAATGAATTTAAACTAGATTTAAATTTTAGCCCTTGAGTTATTGGTATTGTATTATTATTATTATTATTGTTATTTAAGGTTGCTGATAAATTATTACTATGTCCTTTTTCTTTACAAACGATCAATAGAGAAAGTATTGACTCGATAAATAGGCCCCTCTTTTCATCATTTAACTGAATAAACTTCAAAAAAGCAGTCAAAAAAGCAACTAAATTTGAATTACTGTGAAATCTATTTTGATATTGTTGACACCATTTTTTAATTAAGTTTAATAACTTTAATTGAATGATTAAATTCCACTCTATTTCTTCTTCAGATTCATTAAGATATAATAAAGAATTAATATATCTTATAACAATCATACGTAATAAATCTTCATCTATAATAAAGTAATGATATACATTTAAAAAATCATTTAATAGCTCATTATTAGTTGTTCCTTTACATGATAATAAATGAATCATTCCATTTAAACTAAAAGATTTAATACTTGTTTCTGTAGTGATATTATTAGTTAATAAAGTAGCACTGTTATTACTATTAACACTGTTAAAGTTACTATTTCCATTACTATTTCCATTACTATTTCCGTTACCTCCTGAGTTATTCATACCTACACTTTCATATTGAATTTCAGAGTGATGAACTAAATCATATTGGGGCCAAGGAATAGTATCATTTGATTTTGAATCCCCAGGATAATAAATAGGATGACCCATAATCAAATTTAAATATAAATATAACTCTTCATCAATTAATTGTCTTAGCTTAATTTCCATCGGACCATCAATACGTATTGCAGGTAAGGATAATAAATCATTAGGTCCATTAAGTTCATTTTTTATTACACTTTCTTTTAAAGAGTAATTACTGAAGCGTTTGGAATTCGACGATAATGAAGGAAGGGTAGGAGGTGAAGAATTATTAATGGTATGAGTATGTGGAGTATTTGGAGTTAATAATGTGGAATTTAATATGGATTGAAACAAATTAGATTTCATTGTAAAAAACATACTCTTTTTATTTTTATTTAAACTATATCGTTGATTGAATTTAGTATTATCTTCTTTAATTAAATTATTGTTAGTTGTATTAAGAGTAGTTGTATTAAGAAGGTTGCTATTATTGCAACTTTCTTTGACTGTATCTTCCATTGTAGTAGCTAAATTATCAGGTAAAACTCGGGTCATATTGATCATTTATTTTTGTATTATTATTATTATTATTATTATATTAATGACAATAAATTAGAGGATCAATCAATGAATTGAGGGTTATTTATAAATAAAGGAGAGAGAGAGTTATTATTATAAACAAGAAAGAAAGTAAATAAATTTTTTAGAATATAAAAAATAGACTTTAAAGAAAGATAAAAAGGATAAATAATCCAAATTCAAGTTATCCGTTAAAAAAAAGAGTTAAAAGTTTAATTAAAATTTCTAATTTATGTATTATCTATAATTTTATTTTTTCATTTTTTTTCATTCAACTTATGTTTTAAATGTTGAAAAAAATATGCTAACTTTAAGGGTTAAATTTGGGGTAAATTAAGGGAAGCTCATTAAATGTTGGGTAGTTACAAATTATAATATCAAATCGCCTTAATCGCATGATTTAGGGTACTTTAGCTATTACTTAAACCAATGAAATAAAAAGAGTTGTAATAAATCAAATTCTTTAAAACATAATTAATAAATAATAAACTTTATTTACAACTATTAGTTTAATGATTATTATAATGATAATATTAAATATCATTATTATTACTATGGTAATAAATGTTTTATCATTTAATAGTTTATAATATGATTTACTATCATTATCAATTATTATTAAGTTATGTTTTTAATAGAGTTATTAAATAAAATGCTATAAGCATATCGACAAGTCATATAAAATTTAGAAATAGTTTTAACAGTTAGCATATTTGAAAAATTTCCATGGATTTTATTTCAAATAACTAAGATTAAGTTTATATGTTAAATAATCTCCCGTTGATATTATAATCGACTATTAATTCCAATTATTTGTTCAAGCTATTTAGTATCAACTACTGTCTTAACTGTTTATTGTTTTTAAAGTTAATGAAATTATTGTTATTGTTATTATTACAGTTATAAAAAATACACTTATAAGCAATAATTTCACTAAATAATGTTACTAAGTTGATGCTCATTAATTAAATATTTTAAACTATTGACCGTTAAAACATTTTAAAGTATTAATCTGAACATCAAGTAAATGGGCATGTAATTAAATTCAATAAATGTGTTTTCTTTTAAAATAAGTAAATGAATATATAACAAATAAACTATAAAAAAACCTTAGTTTAATTAAACTCATTTAT